TTATTAAAGAAGAAAAAACCCTAGAGCTCTAAACCTTTGTCCATTGCAAGCAACATCTGTAAAATGATACAACAGCCTCTTATTTATTTATTTTTGAAAGGATGTTAGGGAAACAGCTTCCCTTATTCATACAAAACACAAGCGTCCCCAGGGCCTCAAAACTGGAAGCGACTCTCTAGGTAGGGAGAGGAGGGCTGACCAGATTGTGTCCGGCCCTGTGCTGTGTCTCTCCGGAGTTTCCTCTTTCCTTCCCTCTTCCCTTAGCCCACTGTCAGCCAGAGAGAGTCATCGTCCTTCAGAACTCTGGGCCACCTCCACCACGCCTCTCTACCACGGAACATTTGAGGTTTTGTTTGGAGACAGGATATCACTAAATTGATCAAGCTGCCCTTGAATTCACTCTGTAGCCCCAGCTACAGGATTTGAATTTGTGATTTTCCTGCCTCAGCATTAGGAGTAGCTGGGTTTACACACCTGGGTGATCAGGTTTAACACATTACCACTCTGTGATGAAATTATTGACAGCTCTAAATCAACAAACAGACTGCACCATGAATGGCTCACAGGAGGAACAGGAGTCAAATGTCTGATGTGGAGGACCAACTCTGGTATTCCCATGGTCCCTTGGTAAAATGGACATTGGAAAAAGAATACACTCAAAACTCAAAGGAAAACAACTCGGATTTTCGAGAAACTGAGGAGAGGGTTACTTTCATGATATTTGAATGGAATGTCCCTTTAAAAAAGATTTTAAATGATGCATATGTGTGTGGGTATGTGCACTTGAGTACAGCCCTGGAGCTGGAGTTATCCATCATTGTGAGCCACCCCCCCCCACCCCACCCCCCACCCCCGGCACGGATGCTGGGAAGCAAACTGGGTCCTCTCCAGGAGCACTAGATGCTCTTAACCAGTGAGCCATCTTTTCAGTCTCTCTTTCATTTCCTGAGAAAGGATCTCATGTATCCCAGACTGGCTTTGAACCTGGAACTGAATCCTGAATCTCCTGTCTCCACTTCCCCAGGGCTGGTATCATAGGCATGGGCTGGGGATCAAGTCTCTGATTTGTGCGAGCTAGACATGCACTCTGCCAACAGAGCTACACCCCCTGAAGCCCCCTCTGAAGCATGAGACACGAAATAAACCAAACTCTACTGTGAGAGGTCCTTTTTTCAGGGAGTGATAGGTTCCTAGTTGCCTATTCGCAGTCTTGACAGTGAGCCCAAATGTGCAGTCCTGCCCTGAAGTTGTCAGCAAGTGAAGGCTGTCCCAGCATTGGCATGCTAGCCTAAGGAGAGGGCACAAGACCCCTGGGGTCTTACACAGAGCTCCCCTCAGCTCAATACTTCATTTCCTATGGGGGGTGCGGCTCCTCTTGCAGCTCTCATGGGATCGATCCTGTGGGGACACTTGGATAAGGAATGTGGGGTTAAGAAGACAGAAAACAAGCCCAGGGACACTATCAGGCATATCTTTTCTCCTTTGCCATTCAAGTAGCAATTTACACCCGGTGGATGCACACAACAGACTCTTCGTTCTTGTACTAGCCTCCTACACCGTTCCCACCCCAGGCCGTCAGTGGACTGAAATATTCTTTCAAGGCTATCCTCAAAATTCCAGCCTCCCTCCTCATTCCAAGCCTGGGATAACAATCTGGGGGTGGCTAGCACCTTCCCGTCACTCACAAGCCTCTCCCCCATGCAATTCCGGGTGGCCTTGAAGCCTTTGGAGACACAAGGTATAGGGTATTCTCCCTTCCCCCTATCTCCCCAGTTGGAGGACAGCAAATGTTTCTTTTTCTAGAACATCTCTGACAAAGCTCCAGTTCCCCGTGCTGGGTTATCACTCCCCACCTCATAGCAGCCCTCCTAATCTCAAAGGCCTCATCCTTCAGCTGACGGGCATTCATTCTGAAGAGTGGGGTGGAGACTCCAAGAGGAGGAAGACGAAGCCCAGGATGGTTACAGCCTGGTATTCAAAGGGTTAAGTGAGCTTGGCTTTACCACCATTCCCCTGATCCCAGATGGAGAGCACTGAAAAACTCCCTCCAGCCAGGCAACTTGTTTGGTTATCTTGGAGTGTGGATTGGGGCTAAGTCATCCTGGCCAGTCCTTCCGGATGTGGCCTTCCTCAAAACGAGGCCCTCCGCTGAAGCCTTATTCCCCTGAGGCTGCCTCCTCCCAGGCTGATAAAGGGTTTCATCATGGATGACTCAAGAGGTTGAGATACAAGCCCTGGTGATAGTAACGAGCCCCCCAGCCCCATCTGAGCTCACATTCTAGCTGCTGACAGGTTCCACCAGGCTGGCCAAACCAAGCTGCAGCAAATGGTCTCTGGCTTTCATGCCCTTGCATTTACCTCCAGCACTCCCCAAAGGCCATCTCCAGGCTGTCCTTTCTGCCACAGGCAATGAGCAAACTGGCATTATCTTGGGGCCTGGCATCTATCTCTGGTCACGCTGAATATCTTCCCAGACTCTTTCCTTCCCACTCAAACTGTTCAGAATCTGAGTAGGTGGATTTGGGTCTTGACTCACTTTAAGACACATGAGTAGGCCCCAGCTCATATGCAGAGAGCTAATGAAGGCAGGCATACACACACACACACACACACACACAAGCTAGCTCATTCCCCAGGCAGGCCTGTGGTGGGAAATGCAGCCTCCTTATCATCCACCAAGGGATCCAGCTCCTGGGGACTGCTCAGATCCTAGAGAGGGTCAGAAACAACAAGGCAGCTCTGAAGTCTCCAAGTGGCCATCAGATAAGCTTACTTGAGACAGCATCTTATGCGGGACTTTCAGAGTTAAGCGATGCTTCAGAAGAACGGGAAGTGCTGGGGCGGTGGGGAAGGCCTGTCATCCCTTCATCTGCACAGCCAGCCTGAATGGGGCTCCAACCCTCTGCAGCCTGGGCGGCTTCCACACCAGGCTGAAAGGGTGCCAGGTCCTCACATGGCAATGGTCCACCGTGTTAACCTCGGGGGTCCTCGATAATGACCATGAGTCACAGTCCCTGACACCACGTAGTGCTTTGCCATTCCCAAGGTGCTTTTCCGTCTTTGTCTAACCCTCACCCAGTGCCTGCGCGCACAGCACATCACCCCTGCTTCAGCTGCAGAGGAGGAGACAGGCTTAGAAGGAAGGAGAAGTCAAACCCTGGCCTCTGGCTGCTGATCCTGTACTCCTCCCTTGCAGAAAAAAAATCTAAATGTACTTAGGGATGGAGAATGAATGCTCTGCTGCCATGTGGGGGTGTGAATCTTGCAGCCACAGTGACAAGATTAACAAAAGCCATGGGGCTGAAGAGGACAGGATATTATTATTTTTTAATATATTCTGAATTGCTTTGCCTCATTCATTACCATGTAGTGTTAGTCTACTATATAGTAGACATGTTTAAAATACTTAAGAGAAAGGAGAAAAAAATGAAGCCAACTAGCTATCATTAAGGCTACTAGCATTTATATATACATACACACACGTACACACTTACACACATATACACATATCCATACACACCTACACAATACATATATCTGTATACACCTATAGACATGCATTTATGAACACACACCTACACACATACACACATGCATATACACACTCACACACATGGATACACATACACACATGCATATATACATATACACACATGCACAGACATACACTTACCTATACACATGCACACACAGATACACATAAATACACACACATACCCTCTATAATTACTATCTCTTTATGCATTTGAATAATACTATAAGTATGATAGATATTACCTATCATTCTGTACTTTGGACACATAAAACCACCAGAAACATTTTTCATATTAGTAAATAGCTATTGTTTTTAAATGGTTTCCTGCCATTTTATCATACTGATATTATCGGACATTAGAGGGTTTTTCTTTTTGTCTTATTTTCCTTGTTTTCATTTGTTAATTTTTATTTTTATATATATATATATATATATATATATATGTGTGTGTGTGTGTGTGTGTGTGTGTGTGTGTGTGTGTGTGTGTGTTTTACTTGCATGTATATCTATGCACCACATGCATACCATGCCTGAAGAGGCCAGAAGGAAGCATCAGATCCCCTGGAACTGCAGTTACAGGTGGCTGTGAGCCTCCATGTGGGTTCTGGGAACTGAACCTGGGCTCTCTGGGACAGCGGCCAGTGCTCCTAACTGTGGAGCCATCTCTCCAGCCCCTCTTTTTATTCCCTTTTTCTTTTAGGGAAGAAGTATGTGTGTGGAGGTCAGAGGACAATTTTAGGGAATACATTCTCCCCATCTCCATTTCCGTGAGAGTTCAAACTCAGGTTACTAGGTTTGGATAGACGGTACCTTTACTAGCTGACCGTCTCAACACCACCACCACCACCCCCTCTCTCTCTCTCACACACACACACACACACACACACACACACACCCTATTGAGTCCACTCAGTACTCAGATTGGAATCCTGTTCGGGAACTCATCCCTGGAGGAAAGCCCCTCTCTCGCAGTCACTGGCCACCTGGAGCTCTTTGTCTAGAGTCGGATCATATGGAATTTCCCCTGCAGACCTCCTCAACAGGAGGGGCTCATGCCTGGTTCTGTAAATCCAGCCAACTGTCCATGGAGAGGTCATAGACCCTAGAGAAGAACCTACTATTGCCATTTCCTTAAGCAAATATCATTTCTAACTGAATTCTGAAATACTTGTTCTTATACCTACAGATAGCGTAGCTCTCACCCCCTCATCAGAGAAACTCCCTTTTGCGACAGATGGGGACTCTTGCAGAGATGGACAACTCATCAGAATGCAGAGAATAAGAGATGGCGGAGCGCCCCACTCAAACTGATGCATCTGAAATGCAAGCCTACCCCTGGGGCTCAGGGAGAATCACGGAAGAGAGGACAGAAAAATGGTAAGGGCCAAAGGCCCAAGACACTGTTATTAGATAGTGTCCGCTAAGCACTACGGGGAAAGTATGAACTCTCAGCAATACGGTTGCCTGACTAAGAACTGCATAATGACAATAGCAGTTGTCATTTTCTCCCCTACATATTCAAGCAATGATACAAATAACACCATACTTAGGCTTCTTCTGCACAGATCTGTGTGCAGCTGGCTGCTTATTTCCTTAAGACAAATTCCTGGAATGGCCTCCTGAAAATACCCCTCCGAAGTTTGTTCACCGTGTTGCAGAAGGGCGTGCCTTCCAACATTCCCAGCAGTCACAGGCAGGGTTCAAACGTCTTAGCCAGTGAGCGCACCTTAAGGAAAGAAAGTACAGCTAGTCAGAAGGCAGGGCATATCTGGGGGTACCTTGTAAAGCGGAGACCAGACTGATTTCCAAGGGACTCGAGGGCCGTGAAAGTGTCTGTATAGATCATGGCTTGGCAGAGAAAACAGGAAGGACAGAGCAAGGAGAGAGAAACAGAGAAGGCACTGGGCCACAGGCCAGGTGAGGGAAGAGAATGGAGTGCTGAAATGGGGCGCTGGAAGGTGGAGGATATAAAGGGGGAGCCGAGAAAGACAAGGCAAAGGGCACTCAAGTCTGGGGGGGGGGCAGTAACTAGAGAAGATGCAGAGATTTGAAGGCTAAGGCTGTTGACAAAACTGCAGAAGCCCGCAGGAGGGAGTTTTCAGAGAAAGCCTGGCTTGTTTTGCATAGCCTGACTGCCTTTGCTCAGTGCTGTGTGTCAGATCATTTGCTTAAGGATGATCTGGACTCCAGGCAGGTGTAAGGTAAAGCCTCAGACCCCTGGGCGCAGGTATGGGAGGGGGGAAAAACTGGGAGAAGGCCGAGATCCACGGACATTGCCAAAGGACAAACAGGGCAAGGGGGCAAAGCGACACATCTGAAATACAAGCAACCCGCCCCCTGGAGCGCAGGGCAAGAGGGCTGAAGGGGTGGTTCAGTCGGTACAGCACTTACCTTGCAAGCAAGAGAGCCTGAGTTTGATTCCCACAACCCACATACAATAATTGCTGGGTGTGGTAGCCTGCACTCGTAATCCCAGAGCTGAAAAGGCAGAAATAGGCAAATCCCTTGGGTTCTTTAGTCAGCAACCCAGCCTACTTGGAGAACTCTAGGTCAATGAGAGACCATGCCTTAAAAGAAAAGAAAACAAAGAAATCTCAGAAAAAACCCAAAGTGGTTGATACATGATGAAAGATACCAAGGTTGACCTCGGGCCTCCATACACTCGTGATCACACATGCATCCGCACACACTCATGCATACACATGTATACAGACAGAGAAGTGTCAGGAATCAAAACAGCCAAGGATGACTGAGATGGGGCCAATGGAAGGAGGAAGACAACAGAACATTCCATGTGACAGAAGAAACAGAAAAAAAAAAAATTGACCCAAATAAGGACAATGTGTTATCAATGGTACAAATGTCTCCACACTAAGATGTTCCTCATGGTCTTAAAAAGAGGGCATCCATTCTGCCGGGCGTTGGTGGCGCACGCCTTTAATCCCAGCACTCGGGAGGCGGAGGCAGGCGGATCTCTGTGAGTTCGAGGCCAGCCTGGGCTACCAAGTGAGCTCCAGGAAAGGCGCAAAGCTACACAGAGAAACCCTGTCTCGAAAAAAAAAAAAAAAAAAAAAAAAAAAAAAAAAAGAGGGCATCCTCCAGCCTGCTGTGAGGGTGAAGGGAGCTCATTGTGAGGAAGCACGAGTTCACTGGGTTCAGGATAGTGGCATGTGTATGTGCTAGCCAGGCCAACCAAAACAACTCAAGCTCTGCTTTGGCCTGCTTATGCTTGACCAGAAAGGCAGCCATTTTGGGAGTGTTGGGAAGGAGTGCCCAGCAACATAAAAGAAGATGGATAATTTATTCTCTGTTGCAAGGAGTGGTACTGGGCAGCCCAAGTGCTTTTTATATTTTTTTAAGTAAAATTCTAACCAAGAATAAGAAAGATGTCATACTCTTATGTCTTGGGAATGTTGTTTGTGTATGATACCTTACCTCAGGGGGGCTGGAGAGATGGTTCAGCAGTTAAAAGCACTGGCTGTTCTTCCAGAGGACCTGGGTTCAATTTCCAGCACCCACATGGCAGCTCACAACTGTCTGTGACTCCAGTATGACACAGACATGCACGCAGGCAAAACACCAATGCACATGATACGTCACCTCTTAATTCCCCAACAAAAGGTGAAGGTCTTTGGTGTGATGCAAATGCACCCTCCCTCCTGAACATGACACCTGAGTAGAGAAAAAGTATTCTCCCAGAGAGGGTGGGTGTTCTAATGCAGCGTTAACACCTCTCTCATCTCTCTCTGACGGCAATTCATTCTCTGAGCTGTGTCCCACCCCAGCTTCAGAAGGTGGGAGCAGCTTTCCCCAAGTCCCCCAGCTCTGCTTTGCCTGTTCTGGGGCACAATTGTGAGCGCGCGCCAGGCGGAATAAAACAGTGGCAATTGATGACAAATGGACTGAGCTGGCCCCCAAGCCCCTCCCCACTCTTTGTTACCATGGAAACACCAGTCAGCCGAACCCGGAGATCAGGAAATATCCATCAAGGACAGTCTGGTGGACACAGGTGCTTAGAGAGCCAATATGCCAATGAAATCCTTCAATCCACTGAGGGTGAGACAGGAAACCTGAACCAAGGTGCAGAGACAGGCTTTCTGCGTGGAACTGTAACCTTGTCTTTTATCTCTTCTCCAGGAGTGATGTCATTCTGATTCTATGTGACCTAAGCCCCTTTCTTTCCCATTTCTACTCCTGATTTTCTTTTTTTGTAAAGATGTATTTTTTATTTCATGTGTTTGAACGTTTTGCCTATGTGTATGTACGTGCACTTCATGTATGCCTGGTGCCTGTGGGAGCCAGAGGAGAGTGCTGGCTCCCCTGAAACTAGAGTTCCTGACAGTTATAATCCACCATGTGGATGCTGGGAACTGAACCAGGTCCTTCATGAGAGCATCTCTCAGCCCCTGCTCCTGATTTTCTTACCTACCTATAAATTGCAAAGATAGGCAGCTAGATACATGCTCAAGAAGGCATGGAGCCAGAAGAACATTCCAGAGACTAGTTCATCATCACTTCTCCCTTAACTACTTTGGGAAATGGACAATAGAGCCTAAGTACTATCAGAAGACTTGCCCCACTCCCTCTCTTTGGGAGAAACAGTGAACATATCCTCCTAATCGAGAGGCAGAGGGTCGAGTCAAGAAAGCTGGACGGAGGCAAAGAGAAGGGAGCAAACGTACTGTGCGGTTTACTCTTCACTATTAGCTTTCTGAGGAGCAGGAAGCCAAGAGCCAAGTATTAACTGGAGTCTGTCATAGCCCAGCATAGCTAGGGAGCGCAGCGCCCCCCAAACAACTGTCATCAAGCTTACACATGTAAAGGCATTTCCCAGGAACTCCTACCTTTTAATGCAAATATGTTCCTCCTTAGATGCTTTGAATCAGTCATTTGAATGGTTCATGTTCTAGGCACTCACTACGAGTGTTATAATTCTATAACACACCTGAAAATGCTTGGGGACTGGTCTAGTCTTCTGCTCTGCACTTCTGGGTGTTGCTTTGTTAGTTCAGTGATCCTGAAAGTCAAGACCAGAATATTTGCAATCAATAACCAAAAAGCCAGCAAAGCTTGTCGCTTTTAGAAGGACTCAAAACATTCTGGGTCATAGAAACATAAAGTCTTACTATAGTGGGAACAAGAGATAATCCCCAACAAGTCTTCTTCTTTTTCTTCTATTGTGTAGCAGCCATGGAATAAAATGGAGATTGATTCCGATCAGCTGGGAGATTGAACTAACCAGAGATGAGATGCCTTAATCCTTTCCCCAATGACTGGTCAGGGCAAATCAAGTCTAAGCCAATCAACTAACACTCGTTATTTCTCATCTGACTCCCATGGGAAGGCTTGCTGGGGCTTCTGAGAAAGTGAGAAATAGAGTTTCAAAATTTGTTTGGGAAAAGCAACATAACCAACCTCCTTAGCTATGATTGGAAGATAACAAATTGCTCAAGCCATGTTGCCATTGGCCTGGAGACAAAAGAAGCAAAGCAATGAGACAAAATAAAGTAGATCCTTGATGACTTAATTAGTTATCCATAAGATCCTACTATCCTTGAATTCCATGCAATCCATTTTTCTTCCATTGGACCAAGCCAATAAGTCTCCTCTGATGCTTAAGTTGATATGATTCTCATTTTACTCATTTTTTTTACAATTGATTAATTTTTTAAATTTACAATTATTGTGTGTGTGTGTGTGTGTGTGTGCACATACATGCAGGGAACATGTGTGCCATAGCGTGGATGCATGGAGAGGTCAGAGGATAATTTTGTGGGTTTTTATTTTACTTCTGCCTTTACGTAGACTTGGGGATCAAACTCAGGTCTCCAGGCTTGCACAGCGAAAGTCTCCCAGAGCCATCTTGCCAGCCCTTAATTTATTTTTAAATAAAGAGTTCTAACAAATTGTTTTTAATATAAAAGGATAAAAGATTATTATATATAAAAGCATGTATACTTAAATGGTGTTTACTAACAACAATCAACAAAAGGGGTGAGGTCCCAGAGACTGAGATGGCAAGTGAGATCTCCTCTCTGGAATTGGATTGGCTAGGGTGTCCACCAAATTGTCCCACCAGCTTTATACTGTCATCAGCAGCTTCTGAGAGTCATCATTGGAGGACAATGTCAGAAGTGTGCTATGCACAGATAACACTGCAGTCTAGAGTTGGAGGAAGAAATGTGTTCTCATTATTTCAGGGCCATAGGGGAACTGCTTCCCAGTGAGGATGAAGGGACACACTGCAGCATCTCAGAGTCCCCAGCTCCAGGCAGCCATCAGCAGCCTAACCTAGAGCATCAACCATAATGGCAGGAGTGAGGCTCCAGCACCCTCAAGTACCATCCCAGGGCTATGACACAGCCTGCTGTTCAAGGCTGGCCCCATGCTCATTCAGAGGAGCCAGGCTTCTTTCTGGCTTTTGTAAGATCCTTTTGAAAGGATGAGTTCTGTTGAAATGCTGCCATCCTTTGTTAAAATGAGGAGGGGGAGGAAGATTAAGAAGAAAGATTGGGAAGCAGCTGATCCTGGCTCATAAGGAAGTGAAGTAGATGATGGTAGTGGAAGTGATGAGAAAGGTGGTGACAAGGCAGGCTCTTAGGTGTTTATAGACTGGGACTGGCAGCCAAATGAGAAGTGAGGCTCAATTATGATTTCCCAGTCTGGGGCATTGGCAAAGGAAAACTGTCTCTGTTAAAAGAGTCCGTAGGAGGACACGGATTGGTCTACAATTCAGCGAATAGGAGGGGGAAAGTATAGGTATTAGATATGGGATATGCAAGGTCAAAACATTAGAGGTAGTCTTCTACCCCAGGTTCTGCAGGGTTCTGTGACCATGAAGACTACAGGGCCAGGGCAAGTGGTAAGTACTACTGGGGAATGTCTTGGGGACTAGAACCAGAGGCTTCCTGCTTTGAAGAAGAATGTGTATGGTTAGATAGTGTGTTGTAGGTTAGTATTCTTTCATAGAAGTCTCTACAGGGCAATTCATCAGTCAACCCACCAGTCAATCCAATCTATCCATCCACCCAACCATCCACACATCCACCCACCCACCCACTTATCCACCCACCCACCCATCCACACATCCTTCCACCCACCCATCCATCCATTCTTCTACCTACCTGAATTCTGCTTCTTGTATATCTCCTATTTTTCTAGATTCTGTACTTTGGAAAGTAAAACACAAAACCTGAGTTCATCCTTGGACCAGCAGAACACAGCCAGTAAATCATAAAAATCTCCAAAAAGAACATTCACTGTCCCACTTGGTAGACTTTTGCTATCCAAAATAATTGGGTCAGAATAATCAGGGGTCTTTTTGCAGACTGAGGAGTTAGTCAAAGCTTTCCTTCAACCTAAGTGACAAAGATTTAAATTCCAACAGAATACATAAACCCTTTTTTTCTTCCTTCCTTCCTTCCTTCCTTCCTTCCTTCCTTCCTTCCTTCCTTCCTTCCTCCCTCTCTCTCTCTCTCTCTCTCTCTCTCTCTCTCTCTCTCCTTCCTTCCTTCTTTCCTCCCTCCCTTCCTTCCTTCTTCCCTTGGGATTATCTAACACAATATTATTTCAAATTTGAAATGGATCTAGCACCCTGCACATCCTTCACAGAGACCCACATTTTGTGTTGAGGGAAGGACGTTGAGCTTTGGTGGGTGCTTCTCCTTTGGGAAATAAGGCTGAGTCTGGGGCCAAGCATGGGGGAGCCACCATTCCCTTGGCTACCTATCCCTACCTCATCACTTCTCTCCTGGGGACCAAAGAAATCCTTCTGTTCTACAGAGAGACGGTGAGATAGAGAGAGAGAGAGAGAGAGAGAGAGAGAGAGAGAGAGAGAGAGAGATGATAGAGATAGATAGATGACAAGACAGACTGATAGACTGATTAATAATAAATAATAGATGGTATATAGATGATAGATAGATAGATAGATAGATAGATAGATAGATAGATAGATAGAT